CAGCTTCAATCCAGATAGTGCACTTAAGCTATACATTTTATCAGGATGTACATTAATATATTACAATTCTTGGCAACTGCAAACAGTCTTCAGTTAGGCTAATGAAACAACCCTATTATTCATCAAATTGTTAATTGTGATTATTATTTTTTTTAAAATGTACTATTTATTGAGTGTATTAATACTTGTACAAACTGCAAGCATAACAACATCATTGTCACAGGTTTTCATCACTAAAAGATTGCATAATATCAAAATGACTTTCAACAGATGTTGTTGGTTAAGAATATAAGTCAATCAGCACTTTTGTTCAGATGCTATTTCAATATTTTTTTTTTCAATTGTGCAGAGTGTTTCTGATGATGTGCGCTTGTGTCTCTTATGAGAAGTCGTCCTCCTATGAGCCTTGACTCCTGAATTTATTTTACTCCCAGAGGACATTACTTGCCACTGTTTCTGTAAGGTAGCTCAAGGGATCTAGGTCTGACTCCCTATAAAACTGCATTAGGACAATCTGCACAGTTAAAGATGCCTACGTAGGTAGCAATTTAGACATCACAGTCGTGGTCAAATCACAAAGGTTGTTTCTAAAGGTAGGTAGCATAATTACCAATGCCTTAAAATACTAAAAAAAGAACCACTTAAAGTTTGCAGAGAAGGCTATCACATAATACAGTGAGGCTATATACTATAAATATACTGTATAATTCATTTAAAGAATTAATAATAATAAAAAATAATAATAATATAATTAAAAAATGCACTATTGTACCTAATAAATGTGCTATGTACACTCCAGTCAAAAGTTTTTAGAGTGTTTGCGTGACGACATTTACTAGTTTACTAGAGTTACTACGAATATTGAGCGTTTCAAATCATTCACTTACAGTATGAGGTTTCATCTCTGTTAGGATACAAGACAAGGTTTTTAGTCGTGATTCATGTGGTGTGGGGGTGTAATGACATCAGTCCTACCTTTCTCTCTCTTCCTTCATCCTCTCCAACTCCTCTTCACTCAGAATTTCTGACGTCTGCTTCTGTGCATTCATCTTTGTCTCTGTCTTGTTTTTTTCTTCTTTTTTCTTTCCAAATCTGAGAGAGAGAGAGAGAGAAAGAGGGGTGGTCACAGAAAGACATCACTGCATGATCACTGTTTGCAAATTACATTTATCTAGGAAAACAGCTACTATCTAGTATACAGTAAATGTGTGTGTGTGTGTGTGTACTCTGGGGAGTTCCTAAACTGCTGTACGGGCCAGAGCGTGTCAGTAGAGATGTTCTGTTAACATGCATCATTTCTGCACCAGTGATTGAGTCCTGCACCCGTCTCCATCTTCTTTGCTCATAGAAGGTCATTTCTCATGTGTGTTCTTGTGTCTCAAACCCACTGCCGCTCAGCCGAACAGCATCAGCGCAGTGTATCAATGTCACAGCGAGCAGAGGCCATGGCCTCCAGCTACACACACTGGGACACGTCAAAGCACATACACATACTGTCAGAGGAAATCACACAAGTGTCCTTTAGCAACGCAAAATCCGGTGCACACTCAAACACAATGATGTGATCTGATCTAAATTATCTTGAATCTTACACATATGCACTCAATGATCATAATATGAAAATCTTTGCAATACATTCAGCAATGGTGAAGGAGTATTTGAGCTTGACAGAGTCCTACTAAGCACTGCAGGTGGCAATTATACACGCCATGCTATCACTTAAACATAAACACAGACTCCGAGCTTTTTAAATTTAAATTTCATATTTTATACATCAGGATTTTATGGCTCATATAGTATGATATAGGAGAATATGGAGCTCATACTTGAGTAGAAAAAAACATATCTATTTATTTAGAGGCCCAAACTGAAAAAAAGCAGATGCTGATGTTAATGGCCAAAAAGAATATCTATAAAATCTAAAGAACTATATACTATATCTCAAGAATACCATCTAAGATGATATTTAAATGATGTGTTTTTTATTGTTGGGGTCAAAATATGTACACATTGCAAATACAATACAATGCGATGTACAAAATAAATATTCCTCTAAAAGCCTGATGTATCATATTTGATACATTTTAACATGTTTTTTCATTACTAACAGTATAAACTATACATCAGATGACAAAAGGCATGTAACATGTTTTTTCAGTCAAGCTGTTGATCGTGTGTTTTTCTTTGTGGCTTTAGAAATTTGTGAATCAAATACAATACAGCAGGCTATCTAAAAAAGAGACATGAATGAATAAATAAGATGTGAAGGCACCAATGAATGATGAATGAATGAACGAACGAACGAACAAAACAAAAAAGTTGAAACGAATGAAACAACAAACTAAAATGGAGGAATCACTGAACAAATTAACTAAACAGTTCAATTAGGGAGTGAATGAACAAGCAAATGAATGAACTAATTGTCTAAATAACAAACCAATTAAGGAAACAGTAAATTAATCAAGAAACCAAATAACAATCAAACAAATGAATGACAGAACAAACTAATGAAGAAATGACAGAACAAATGTAAAAATCATAAATGAGCGAACAAACAAATTAAGTATCAATGAATGAATGAACAAATGGATGAATGAACAAAGTAATGAACCAAAGAAGATAACAATGAGCGCATGAAACCAAAGTAACACAGAAAATCAATTAGGGTAACAATGAATGAACAAATAAATTAATGAATGGAAAAAAATATATAAAATAATGATGGGGGAAAATAACAAATGGAGAAACTAAAATGCGTATAGCCAGTTTCAATCGTCTAAGGTGTGTGTATCTCTCACTCTACAGAACCTTTGAGTCATTTAAAGCAGTGCCCTCAAAAACTAGAGTTTAACACTAACACAGGAGGACTGTGTTCAGATGTTGTGGGTATTTCCAGAGGGCACAGAGTGAATAAAATGAAAGGAGTAGCAAAATACATAGGTGATTCACACTAGCCTGCAGCTCAGTCATCCAAGCCTCATCTAAGTCAACAGGTCTGTCCAGAACATTTCCCTTTTTCACTCCGTTACTCATTACTCAGCGCTGAAGGATGGTGGATGATTCACTGCCCGTCAGCGCTCCAACCTTTCCTCTTGTTTTCAAACAAATTCCAAACAACAAACGCTATGTAGCCAAGTTGCTGATTGACACTGCCAGGAGAAGATGATTTTCCCAGACAAACTGGGGAAATGTTGAGAGACGAATAACAATGAACTTTCTGCCATCCAAACCAAAAGTTCGGGAATTGAGAACATTTACTGGGCATAAATATTTCTTATTGGCCATGAAACTGTATATTGGACTGAACAAATATTAAGATATTAGGACATATTTATGATCAGAAATTCACTCTGCTTATGTTTCATAAATGAGGGCCAATGATCATTTAGTTGGTCATATTGCTCAAATTGATTAGGTTACATCACCTACAACAGATAAGAGATGAGGTTTTGAGAGACAAAAATAAACGCATGCACATGTTCTATTGGGACTTTCCATAGACATTATGACTTTAACACTGTTCAAATTATAACCTCTTACACTAACCCTACCCATCACAGTTAACTTTCTGCATTTTTACATATTCAAAACACATCACTTTGGTTTTACTCATTTTACTCATGGGGACTAAAAAAATGACCCGACAAGGATTTTAAATATTGCCATAACAATGGTATATATGAAGAGTTCAGATGCAAAAGCCTCTAAATGCCATTTGAAATTTTACTCTAAAATGACCATTTTTATCAAGCTTGTATATTTAAGTTCAGTAATTTCACTTAAATGACAATTAATAGGTAATCTTCATTGCCATTTAAGTGAAATTACTGAACTTAAATATACAAGCTTGATAAAAATTATAATTTTAGAATAAAATTTCAAATGGCACTTAGAGGCTTTTGCATCTGAACTCTTCATATGTACCATAATGTAGGGTTCACCATGCCACACTAACACACACACACACACACACACACACACACATACATCTCTTAGTGGTGAGTAAGACACACAACTCTTAGTGACCCCAGACATGTGAGACAACAGGAGACAGCCTTACACAGACACATATAGTTCTTCAGTGAAATCAGTGCTGACTAATGCAGC